ATCGTATCAATTCATAACATAAGTCATCTCAGAGCAGTTCACATAGTGAGGTGACAACCTTACAATATTATATTATGGAGAGAAACACTACAAATCCAGAAATTTCCTTTGAACAAGCACTGAAGAAAAAACTCCTTTCACAGGAAGAAAACTCCAGCACAACCCAGCTTGGCAGTGCAGTCATCTGCCTCAACCAGTTGGGGTGATGTAAACTAATCTTAAAGGAAACCATTTGAATAGATATCCTCATCATACAACCAAGAGATACCCACCTGCTTTCCATCCCCACGTAGGGCATACTGAGCATCTCTTTGCTCTCAAATATCTTGAGCCATAGGTTCTTGATGTCATCCCAGTCATCCAGCAACAGGTCCAAATTGCAATCTCGGTCAATGACCGAGACCAAGTTGGCTAGAAGTGGAGTGACAACTGCTTGGATTTTCCTCCATAGTGTGTGTCTGTAGGAAATATGAAACTTTCTTAAAATCAACAGGCTATTTGCTGTCAGCTACTAAAAATGAGAGAAATATCATATCAGTGGAAACCAAATGATTGAGATTAAGAGCCTGTTCAGCTGAAGTTTTGCCACGTACTTTACATTTTACACAATAGCAAAATACAGTTAAAGAAGTGATGAATAAATGAAAGATAAAAACTGCAAGCAAATATAGCAAGAAACTGCCAAGCAGACTGGTATAGTAAGTGGCAAATAAAGAAGAGGCTTACAGGAACGTCCCTCCCTCCTGAAGTGCATTGACATTAGATGCCGCATTTAGAACCCAACTTTTTGGACTGGGGATGTTGGCCTCATAGTCCTCTAACAACCAGCGGAGACGCTTCCTCACAATGTTCACAAAAGTACCTTTAAAGCAAAATTCATTTACTAGAATTTTTTTTCAGCAAAATTATTTGGTTGTGTTAAAGGCAATAATAAAAAATGGCCTGAAACCAAATCAGTGACTCATTTTCTAACCTTCTTGTGTCTGACTTTCGTCCAGTAGTGTAAGCAGATTCTCAACTCTCTTGGTACTGAATTCTCCGCTGTCCTCTGCATCCCTCAGCATGCTCACTGCACTCTGCACACAGCTTCTCACCAAATCTGTCGTATCAAACACTTTTCCCAAAACCTGAAAAAATATATGAAGTACATCAACAGCAGCAGCCGAGCAGCTGTATCCAAAAAAATATCAGAGGTGAATCCCCCATCGCAGGGTGTGAATATTTGTTAGTCAATAAATGTATGAATGAATGAATGAATGAATAAATGTATGCTTATATAAAATTCAGAACTTTTGAGGTATTTTATCATTTACCAATGAGTGCCCATGACTTACATACTTCAGAATAGGAGCTAAATCAAAACAAAGTGCCACTTTTTTTTATGTTATGGCAAACAATGACGAGTAGTGAAAGCCTTGTAGAAGTAACAATTTACATGCTAAAACACTGACCAGACACTTTTATTTTCACATCTGAGTCAGGAAACCTCCTCATACTGACGTCAAATAAGTTAAGCCTAAGATGTACTACATGTGAGAAGTTTCCCAAGCTTTGAACTGAATTTAGTTGGTTTACCTTGAGCCTAATAATTTCTTAATTGGGTGAAATGATTTTAATGTAAAACATCTGGGTTACCTATTATAAAGGCTTGGGTTAAAAGTTAGGGCTTCTCATGTTGCTATCAAAAACACCTGCAGTCTCTAGACTCCTACAAAAACACTAAAAAGGCTGATAATTCTAGTTCTGAAATTTCTGAACTGTCTTCTAATGATTTGTCATGTTTACCAAATTACAGTATTATCTACGTCATCACTGGCCCTTGGTGTTTGATTTATTCTAAGGTATGTTAACTTGCTATGCTAGATGTGTCTGGCATCACTAATTCAAAATATTGCCCAAGTAGGCAAAAAAAGGCTAATAAAAACTGTTTATGTTTCTGCAAATCTATCAGAGATTAGTAAATTGTATATTGGTGACCTGGACTGACCGGTAATCCAAATCCTCTTATTTTTCCATGTTACAAACATATGATTATAATAAATGACACTTACAGTGGAGTCATCATTTTGTGGCACACCAGTGAAGTCTTCTGTCTCCATGGCTTTAAAGAGAGAGAACACGTGAATTTATTAACTTCAATTATATTACATTCTGTAGCAAAAAAAATAAGATTTGATAAATTACCATCAGGTGAATCTTCAAAAAGATCACTTATGCGTAGCTTTTTCAAGCTGTGAACATCACAAACAAATTCTTTTGATCTTCTGAGATCATCAATGTGAACAGACCTCCAAGGACCTGAAAAAAGTCAGATTAAGAAAGACACAACGCATAAATTTTAACTGCTATTTAAATTGTTCATTTATGCTGTTACTCTCAGTGTGTGGCACCATGTGTGCCATTTTGTGTCATTTTTGTGCTATTTAAGCATGTTGTGACAGAGTCAACAAGGCTTAGTTGTGTGAATAACAGCAGCACTAACCGCCCTGAAAGCCGACATAGGAGGTCCCACCCTCCATTCGGGGAAGTTTGGTGACAAAGTACACAAATGTTCTTGTGTTGTCAGTAGTGTCACACCTGTTGGTTTCGTTGATGCATGAATATCTAAGAATTGCAAACATAAATACAAGAAAAAACAAATAAATCAGAACTTTTGCAGTAATATCAGCAGATTACATAAAAGAATATACGTATACTCACTTGGCTGAGGAAAGAATATTCCTTCTGTGGAAGTCTTCATCATACTCAGTTTGGATAATGAGCACTTTGTCTGTACTCGTTGAGCCAAGAAATTCCCTAACACAGACACATAAACATGATGAATTTGAATATGTATAGTCATGTAAATATCTGAATACACAAGAGTGATCACATTACAGTATTTAGGCCCATACATCTACTCGGTCTAATTCACAGCGTGATCATTTATATAATTATCCTTAGGAGAATCCAATGAAATAGAAGCACAAAGCTATGGCGATTTTTCAGTTTGACTGAAATGAGCATTTCCACAGATGTATTATGTTTGTTATACTATATTTACATACCTGATTTCCTTGAGGAAAGTGTACTCTGTGTCAAACTGTTGCAGTGACAGCAGCTTGATAGCATCCATCTTTGTCACGTTCTGCAGTTGTTGAGTGTCTGCTGAAGTCAGCAGCCTGGAAAATGTTGTAACCTTTCAAAAAGTAAAAGACATTAGAAAATATTATTCAATTCCTCATTTGCAAAAACAAGGTCATCTGCAAATAGTTGCATTATGTGTCATTATGTGTCTGTAATTTCTAATGTGTCCCACAACAGCTTGATATTGTTTGTACACTAGTCATTATTTTCATTACCTTTTTTGCATCTCAGTTTTGTTTTTCTCATTCACTAGTTCATAATGAAATTTTAAACAGCCCTTCAGCAATTTAAAATAGGACTTACTATAAAAACAGAAAAAAAATGTTACTCTACTACTTCCACTTCCGGTAAGAAGATTTAGGAAGAACTAAGTACATAATCTAAGGTTAACTTAACAAATGGGTAAGTGTTGGTAAGGATGGCATGAGCTTGTTGAATAAAAGAAGTTGGGTTGCACCGTATACAAAAAAAATACATGACTTATGTCCAAATAAATAGTTATCTTTCTGTAACTATGGATTGTCAGTGCTAACTAATGAGTACTTAACTCTTGGGGCCAGGCACCAAAACCATAAAGCAAATACATATGTCAGTGATGAAGGTTGACTTTTTAAATATTAAACTGAGAATGAAAAATAGATGGCTCTGTAAATACAAGGCACATCTCCAATACCCAGCTTTAACAATGCTGCAATGCTAGGGAATGTTTTTTCAATGAAATATTTGATAACATAGAGAAAAGATTACCTCAGTGAATAAGAAGTGTGACTGGTCCGACTGCTGTGTGTGATAGACAATGTAGTCTTCCAATGAACTGTGCATCTCCTCTTTGACATATTCTTTGATTAAATGTTCTCTTTCCTCATCTGGCAGTTTGGATTTACCTAAACGAACAACTGAGTCGGGAGTGGCACAGTTGAGCAGAATGTGCTTGGCATTGCTGAGTTTGACCTGCGCATCCGCTTCAACACTTTGATTCTCTGTTACTTGCAGGACCACAGAGGAGCATGTGTCTGAGTGGTAACCAATGAAGACATCACTTGGAACATAGTGCTTTTTTGTGGAGTCTTGACTACTCGAGGAGACAAAATCATCGACCCATCCCTCGAGTTGTCTGGCAATGTCCTTCTGTTCATTTTTGAGGACAGTGCTGATGTCCAGGTAGTGTTTCTCCAACCTGTTAATCAGTGGGATTGGAAACTGCTCGTAGACCACTTCTTTCTCTTCAATGACGATGAGCCTGAAGTTTGGGTGAACTCTGCATTTCACACGATGTGTTCCTAATCCAAGATCAACATACTTTTGACCACCTAGTGTCACATAGTATTGGTTGAGAGCATCATACAGACTTTCATACAGATTCTGAAGGTTCAGAAGCACAACTGTCTGTCCAGTTTCCATGCACACCTTGACACGATTGATGTTCCTACAAATCTGCGTGTACTCCTGATCCTTTGGAAAACTAGACCCAAAGATGACTTCTGGATGGATTTCATGAGAGAAAAAAATCTGTTGGAGAATCTGAAGAGCTGCAAAGTTTTTTGTGAGGATCAAAAGGTAGCGGCTTTCCTCCATTTGGGAAGCTGGAAAGATGCTTTGCTCAATCATATCAATGGTAGTGATGGTGGCATTGGCAAAGTATTCTCTAAGCTCTTTGCTGAAGAATTCAATCACATTCACATCATCTTTTCCGCTGAAGTTTCTCAGGACTGCTCCAGTGATTTGATCTGGGTTAGGACACTCGTTAGACATTTTGGTAATTGAAAATACCATTTTTATCAGACTGTAGAAATCCCGCAGACCAAAAAATCCCTTGGCTTCTTCACATACTGTCATATATGCTTTTGCAAAGGGTTTAAAGAGGTGTTTGATCTTTTCAAGAACCTTTTCTTCAGATGAGCAAATCCCTTTAGCACTTTTGATGAGCTCTTGCTGGTGCAGATCACCACGGGATACAAAAATTCCCCGATTCATCTTGGCAGGGTCCAGAGCCCAGTTGGAAATTCCAATGAACCCAACCCTTTTGTGAGGTTGTGGCTCATCGTCAACACAGCCCTCTTCCAGTAATGGGTGCAATGCTTTCAGTGGCATTTTCGGTGAATCCTCAGCCAGTCCAATCTCATCAAGAACTACCACCGAGATGTATTCATCCAAGTTTTTGCTTTCTTGAAAGCGTGCACATTGCTTGAATGTGTTGATGATTCCTTCCGGAGTTGAATGAGGGCTGCACTGGAAAGACACCAGATGTATCTGCTTCAGCCTCTTGTACAGTTCTGAATGTGATGTAGGGCCCTGCATTGCATCTGCAACTAGCGTTTTCGAAAGTGATTTGGAGCTCCCTGGTTTTCCAACAATAAAAAGGGGAATTCTTAGCTCAACACAGACTACCATCATGAAAAAGTTCTCTTTTAAAGCCTCGTTTCTGGCTATTGTCTTACCCATGGGTACACCACTGAGTAAAAGGTCCTGCATGAGTTGGATTTCCTGCTGTATTCTTTGTGGTTTGTAGTCACGAGGAAGAATTTGGCTGATGGCTTTCTGATATTGCTCTTTGCTCTCCAAGCAGGACTGATAGCACACTCCAGTGGCCATCAAGAGTGACCAGATTACTCTGTCACTAGCAGGTGAAAACTTTGACTTGTCTCCTTGCCTCTGAGACTGCTGCTGAAAGAAGGCGTTGAGATCCTTAGCAAACCTGTCGTGGTTTCTGTGGAACCACACAAACACTTGCATGCAGCGTTCCACATCCCTCAAACTGACAAAGCTGCATTCATCTTTCTTCTCCCTCATGAACTTCTGTGACAACGATAACACTTTGGTTATGGTTGGAATATAGCGCTTGTCTACCAAGTTGGTCTTTGCCTGTCTTAGCACGATTTGTTCAATATACATTTGCTCTGTTGAGTCATTGAGTTGTCCAAAATCCCAAACAAGAGGTATCATGCTGGGTGGTAACACATGAACACGATACACCAGCTGGCGGAGAGGGATAGAGCCAAGTCTGTCTTCTGCCTCCTGAGCTCGGACTCGGTAGCCCAGCCCAGATGCTTCCAACCTCTCAATCATTTTGTCCGTATGTTTTCTGTAGGGGTTGCATGCAGCAATAATCTGTAGTCCTGTTTCAGAGTCAAGCTGTTGTCCCTGCACTGAGTTATCACAAATGATCTCCTTGATGCTGCTAATGGCTTCTGTGGTGTTTGCCTCATCAAAGAACAGAACAGAGTCACACTGGTGATTTTCTGTATTGGCTCTTGCAAGAATTTCAGCTTCCTTCACTTTCTCATATATCATATCTGATGTAGTTCCTCCATGAACCTTGACCAGCTTCATGTTTTCTGCTGGTGCGCCACATCTTCTCAATTCACACATAAACTTTATTAGCCTTGTCTTCCCACATCCTGTCTCACCCATTATGATAACCGGGATGCCACACCTAAATCTCATATGAATTGCCATCATTTTGAGGATATTGTCTGTGGTCAGCTCATAGGTTTCATCAGGATCTGTTGGCCACTTGATGCCAAGCACACTGCACAGATGCTCAATCTTGTCAGCTCGAGGAAGCTGATCAAAGTCCATATTAAACGGGACTCTCTGAAGTCTTAAGCCAGTGTAAAGCTCTTGAGTCATGATGTTTTCCTGTATCACTTCTTTCGTCAATGGATTTATGGCATCAACCCCATTCTGGTCATTGAGCTTCAGGTGAAATCCAATGAAGGTCATGGATGTGTGGTCATCGTTGAAAAAGATGTATGGATGTGGCTTGGATTCCCACCTTTTCCTAATGAGGAATGGAGCTAAGTCTTTTTCGTTGAGCTCACTGATGTCAATCTGTTGCCTCCCTGGGCTCTGGTCAGTGATGGTTAGTGATGGGGTTGCAAAGTCTTTGGACATCAAGATCATGAACTTAACCACAAAGTTTTTGAATCCACGGAGAGTGTCTCCAACAAACTCAGATTTGCAGAAGACTGAATTCTCACAGTCTTGCAACTGAAGATTAAGAAACCAGACAAAGTTACGTAGCTCCGCCCATGATGGATCCATTATGCCACAGTAGATTAAGAGTATCTGAAGACACTCCACATGTGTTCCTTCAACACCTTGGTAAATGAAGTTGTCGAGATTTTCACTGTTGTGAAAACGAGTGAGGTACTGGTATGGTCTTTGATAAGCTTCACTCCTGAAACATTCATCATCCATGAGGGGGTCATCACGCTCCATGTTAGAACTTTCCTCTCTTCGCATCTCCAAAGCCATAATTTCTTTTGGTGGACGACAAAACACCTTTGGGAAAACATCTGAGAATGCAAAGTTTTCCTTTCGTCCCTAAAAATACACACACGTTTTGAATTAATCAGTCAAGCCCATCCTCTTACTTAATGTATGTTTCCTCTCCTACTAACTATGAATAGCAACTATAGCAACTGCTGTACACCATACCCCATACCAAGTCAATTATCTGTATCCTGGCTACTGCTGAAACAAATTCTAGGATTCTAATAGAGTGTGGTTGCATGAGGTACTTAACTGAGTATCAGTTTTATCAGAATACAACAATATCAGAGATATAAAAAAAAAACAAAAAAAACAACTGAATTTCCTAACATTAAACTGGACAAACAAGTGAATCGCACTTACCGATCTGCCAGCATATCTGGTCTGATCATTTGTGGATTCCAGTAACTCAACAATATACAAGTGTTTGTGGCTGCAGTGCCACATCTGTCCATCTGAATCCATCAGGTACCGCAGAAAGAAAAGCTTGAATAGGAATTCATCCAGACCTTTTTGCACCTAGAGACCATAAATTCTACTGTTAGAAAAAGTCTTGGCCAGCTTAGAGATTCTGTGAGAACAACATGCTTACAGAAATTAAAGCACTTTCAGGATCTATATCATATATAAACATTGCCTACCGAGGATGTGACATCAAAGTGAAACACCTTGACATCTTTTTGTTTTGGTGTGTCATACAAAGACCGGAGAATCTTGTGGTCATCAACCTCATGTTCAGTTAGTCGGATGCACTTCTTTAATGCAGTTCCGTGTTCAACACTTCGCTCCAACTTTTCATACAGTCTTTGGACATACAAAGACTTGCCTGCAATGGTAGAGAAACAATCTATTACCTGCATAAACCAAAACTTTGAATAAGAATCTCTGTCACTACAAGAATTTTAGCACACCAATGCTTGAAGAAAATTGCCTGATATGTCCCTTGACCAAATACATGAAAAAAACTGTTTTGATGTTAATTAAACTTGAATAAACAGGTAATCGAATCCTAATACTGAACTTAAGTTGGTTTTGTTGATGATCTATCAGCCCAGTTTTGTTATATACCACTGGCACAGAGAGTAAATTAGAAGTAAGTAAAGAAAATCTACTGTATATTTAGGACTCACCTACTCCTGCACGCCTGGAAGCAACAATACCGACAGAATGGCCACCTTTGAACACAGCATTCTTGTGATCTGAGGCGACAGTGTAATGTCTGGACAAGTACTTCTGGATATTATCCAGTGGCTCTTGGGGCACAAAGTTTCTTTTGAACTGACTGAATGCAGTAGGGACGTAAGTGTGCTCCCTGTCAGAGCTGCAAAAGATCACTAGCCTGTAATCATGTTGATAAAGGGACTGCAGTTTCTGAAAACATTTCTCCATTTCACAGCTAACGTCATAGGTAAGTTGGTCTGCCCAAAGCACTGTATAAATCTTCTTGCCAGTGTCACCTGGTGTGAGGCATCTCCTCAGGAAAAGCTCTACTTGCTCACAAGATGTTGCAGGGGTACACAAGAGAACCTCATCGTAACTTGGTAGTGGTTGATAGTCACTGGTCATGTACAAGGAGATGCATGAAGTTAAGACCTCATTGTGTGGGCAGATTAGGAGATTAGGCTGTTTTGAGAAAAGGCCTTTGGGGAGCTTCCTTCTCAGTGAATTGTCTTTTGTCCCTGACAGCATTGGTTCTTCCAATTCATACTGACTTTGGTTTTCTGTGACAATCAGCAGTTTTAATAGACCCCCTAAACTCCTTATGTCCAAAAGGTCATGGAAAAATATTTCTTCATTCTTCATGTAGCCATTCCACAAGTCTTCCAGTTCTTTCAAATCAGTGCTCTGGTCTGCCTCATCTGCTGGGTCATCAAAATGCTGAACACTGGCTGTGGACCAATCACTGTCTTCATTATCCCTTCTGCCAGGTTGATATTGGTTTTGAAACCTTCTCCATGTACTCCAGACATCAGATGTTGTGCAGTTTGGTTTGATGAAAGAGAGCATCATCAATGCTTTTTCCTCTATTTCTGCATTCACATTTGTTGGAGTCACAACATTGCACAGATAGAATATTTGCTCTGCTGTGAAGTAATTTAAGTAGTAGTGATCAGATCTCTGTTTGTCCATAAACTTTCGCCAATTGTTTAGAAAGAGCTCCATCTTCTTGGACAGTGATGTAAGTTGTTCAACTAGACTTCCACATACATGTATGGGAGGCAGGGTCTTGCAAAAGTTGATTTCCATAATGATACATGGGTCACTCTGAGTTTTGCAATAAATCTTAGCTTCCCAACGCCTAAAGAGTGGGTTCCCTGCAGCATAAAGGTCTACAAATGCTTTGGCTAGTCTTTGGACGTTGTCAAACACCTAAACAAAAAGACAGTGTGAGATTTTAGGATATGTAAAAAACAAACAAACAAACAAACAAACAAAACAACCATTTGTTCTATTGAACATTTCATTATTTTACAGGAACAGACTTACATATAAATACATTATTACAAAATAACAAAAATATGCAATCAATATACAATACCTCAGTGAAGCGCTCCACTTCATTATGATTTTGTTGTCTTCCAGACATCAGCATAAGCTTATTTTGCAACTCCTTTACGTCCTCGTAGGTGCATGTCATGGTTTTGTCATGTCCATTCTGGATTTGCAGTCTCAAGGAATTCTCTAAACTGAGCTACAAAGGAAAATATCAAAATGATTACCATAGTCGTATGTTTCAGTCCAAAGACCCAAAAACAGCTGCTAGTTCCTATCAGTGTGACAGTAGCCCTGCAATTCTTTCTCATTTAGGCATTTATTTCATGTAACTCATTTAGCATACCCTTTTCTGGTTTTGGGCCTTGATGGTATACATCCCCCTCTCATTGATGGATGTAGCCAGGGAGAGAGACGAAAATTCAACAGATCCTTGGTTTTCCCTTACAGTCTTTAACCAATCCAGATGGCGTGCCGTATCTCGCTGAAATGAGTCAGAAGAAAAATTGCCATGTTTCTGAATGTAGTCGTGTACTACTAATGTAATAAACTGAATTGTCAAGTTTTTGTTGTATTCACAAATGCCCAGTAAAACAAATAAACAAAAGTCTACGATAAATTGACCAGAATTTTTTCAGGCTACAGTGATAATACCCTGAGGAAGTACAAGTTTTACGTTTAAAAAGGTTACACGTGTGTGATGTCAACAGTAACATGTACGTTGTCATTATTTAGCATCAACTCCAGAATTTTTGCTTATTTCCAGAACACTTTCTTCCTAAAATAATCCCTACACAGACACCACTATTACCATGTCATTTACATAACCCCCTCCACTCATGACGAAGGTGAGGATGAGAAGTAATGTAGCCATTTTAGTATTTTGGAATCAGTCACTAACAAAATATCTTGTGCTGGAAACAGTACTTTAATATCACTGTTACGCCATGTTTTAGCCTTGAACTAACAGACTTTCTGCAGTAGTGCCTTAACAAATTAAACGCTAAATAGTACAAATATTTAGATGGTGAATTAATCTTCATTTTCACTTGAATCTGTTTTAAACAAAGTATGACAGTTATTTTGACTGGTTGTGGCTCAACTGTGGTAGCAACATCAGTTACAGTTAGTGATGATATGATGTGAGGTGAAATCTCACCAGCTTCTCTGGTATCTTTTTGTCATTTTCAAGTGCCTTCCACAATTTTGACAAAGAATCCTTGAACTTCTCAAAATCAGAGTCATGTTTCAGCCCATAGAGCATGGATGAGTAACCAAGGACAGCATCATGGAAACAGGCCACTCGATCCACATCCATGTCATTTTCTCCAGCAGAGATGGATGCCAGGTCAACGAAAACTTTCAGCTCATTGATATCTGCAATTACAAATTTGCTTTTGCTGTACTGAAATGTAGTATTTCACTTGTATAATAAACAATGGATTGTATTGTACCTTCAAGTTCTTTTTTAACCCAATGGACAAACTCTTCACTTTGACTGAGTGCCTGAAGGCAATTCTGGCGATCCTTTGTAATGTCTTCAAGGACATTTTTCGCACGTATGAAGGACTGATCTATGTAATCCAGTCTGATTGTCTTGAAGTTGGCTTCATTCTGAAAAACATACACAATTTTAAACAATGTATTGAAGTTGGATGTTCTGTCAAATTTAATTATTTCAATTTTCATTTCTCATTTCATTCTATTTTTCAGATCATTTTAGCATTTTTATCAAGACCAAACTAATCTTTAACAATAAATATGTATGGTGAAAGATAATTACTTGCTGAAAGGTATACACTTTTCGTATCTCCATATCATACTATATAATGTGCACTATACACAGCTGAACACAACTACATATTATTCTATACTCATCAAAATATTTATAAGTAAGTCTTCTGTTAATGTCTTACAGGTAAGACTTGAGGTTTCTTTAAAATATTTTCTCTTAACACCAAAGCTGCTCTTCCAACAGAGCATTAAGCAGTTGATAAACATACCATTTGCAGTAATTTATCCAGCACTGTGAAGTTTCCTTCTGGACACATGATGTTCTTGATAGCCATGATGATTTTGGAAGACTGCAGGGTTAGATGAAGATCCTGGTACTGTCGAATCTGCCTAATCCTTTCTCTGATCCATCTTCTGTTGTCGCCTGGATTTATTCTGCACATGATGTCTAAATCTTTCTCCAAATCTTCATATCTTCCTTTATAGCCTTCAAAGAAGCTGTCTATTTCCTCCAGTAACAGTTCCCCACTCTTCAGACTATCATAAAGCCCTTTGTACTTGCTGTAGCAGCTCTGGAATATCTTGCTGTAGACCAGGTCAAGAGTATAGATTTCTTCATTTGTATTGATGTGTTCAGGGTCATCTTTATCAGGTTGACCTCTTGACAGCTCCTCTACTTGGTTTGTCCAGCACATTGTAAAGACTGTGCTGCCTTTAACAGCATGCACTTCTGAGGCCATTTGACGAGATGTATCACGAAGGTTGAAATAAGTGACCTTCCCAGTAGCAGGAGAGGTCTGTCCATCAAGAGTGTGAACTTCCATAAATTCACTCAGATTCATTGTCTCAATGTTCTGATTATATTTTTGGTCCAACCCCTCAAAGTCAGCTGTGGATTGAAAAGATGATATTCTAAATACGGTTGTAGACATAAAGTTATTACAATTATCCTCTCAGCCGTATTTCCAAAGTATCAGGATCCAATATCTTTCCTTTCAGAGGTGCCATTCATTGTTAAACAGTCCTACAAACTGGATAATCAGGCCCTTAAGACTAACTAAAATCCTCCTGAGCTCTTGCAGAAGAACCACAGACTTGAAACAGGCACCTGTTCTACAGGTTAAAAAGTTGGCTATTGTTTGCACACCCTTGTTGTGGTACTCAGCAATTTTTCTCAAACCCTATAGCGCCGGCACTGACAAAACTGACTAATGCATCACTTCACATTATAACACTGACAGTGATAAAGCTAGCACAGAGCGACCTACTAACATGAATATAAACTGCACATCAGTCAATTGTCTGTATCAGTATTCCCACACCAAATATTATAAAAAGGCAAGTAAAACAAAGCAAGAATTGTCATGACTAATAGTACAGAGACATCACAAAAAAAACGAGAAGTCCATCAGTACCGAACTCACTCAACAACACCTGATGTGTCAGTAAAGACTTCCTCCCCTGATATATGGAAGTTGCATGAGATGCTACCCATCAGAATGCAGCTGGCAAACCCTCAGGTCAACACCTTGCACTGCCTGATTAAGGTATTGGTGTTCCTTGACCTTTGCTTTATCAGCATATTTCATGCTTCAAAAATCATCAAAGAAATTTAACTATGCAAACATTTCCCAACAGTCTGCAGAACAGAACATTTGTTACAAGTGAACTCAAATGTCCTAGGTCTTCTTTAACTCCTTCAGTAAATATCTGGTTAAATGTTTTATACCAAGTCAGATCATTTGAATTACCCCTTTGAACCCCTTTGAAGATTTTTATCATAGGCATCAGGAGCCAATAAAGCAGCTAGTTGATGTAGGTCTGTCAGAAAAGATCCAAGACTGGTGTCACAAAAGATATATTTCAAACCCAAACTACAAACTACAAGTTTTCCCCTTCAAAGTAATCACCCTGGAGTATATAACTGTGATCTCAGCTCTCTGCAGCCATCAAACTTTTTTCCACATTTATAGACATATTCTCTGTTTCATGTCGTCAAGCTATGAGCACTGAGCAACGAACAATCCTGAAGTTTCTGGTCTTGTTGGGGAAAACTCCGTCAGAAGTACTGAGATTGCTGCAGCAAGTGTATGGAAATGAGATGTCACACTCACATGTTTGAGTGGTGCAAGGTCTAAAGAGGGACGCGAGGATGTGGAAGACGACCCCAGGAGTGGAACAAATTCAGACAAAATAATTCACAGACACAATTTCAATGCCAATAAAATTCAAAGTTAGAAATTCAACAGCTTTTAAAATTCAAAATTGGATGAGCTTGATTTGTTTCCATATGAAAGCGACCCAGACTTGCTAGAGAGAATCATCACCGGTGATGAGTCATGGATCTTCGAGTACAACCCATAGACCAAACACCAGAGCCTTCAGTGGAAGATTCCGACGTCGCCAGGCCGAAAAAGCAAGACAGTCGAAGTCCAAAGTCAAAATCATGTTGATCGCATTCTTTGATGTGAGGCGCATCGCCCACTACGAGTTCTTGCCACAAGGCCAGACGATCAACCAGCATGTCTTCAAAGAGATCCTGTGGCGTTTGCTTCATTCAGTGCACCAGTAGAGGTGTGGCAGGACCAGTGGAGGCTGCTTCACCATGACAACGTGCCTGCTCACAACGCCCTGATCATCCCCCAGTTCCTGGCTGACAAGAACATTTCCGTGCTGGAGCAACCTCCCTACTCACCCCACCTGGCTCTGTGGGATTTTTTTCCTCTTCCCCAAGCTCAAGGGGGTCACCGAGGGAATGCGTTTTGAAGATGTGGAGGGCATCAAGATGACTGTGACGACGGAGCTGAGGAGGATCTCGGAAGAATCCTTCCAGGAATGCATGGCGGCGTGAAGAGAAGGCTGGGGAAGAGTGTTAGACTCCAGGAGGATTACTTGGAAGGGGAAAACTTGTAGTTTGTAGTTTGTATTTGAAATCTATCTTTTGTGACACCAGTCCTGAAAGTTGTCTGACACACCTCGTATGCCAAGAAACAGAACTCTACAAGGAATCATAATGTGACTTGTGACGTTAAGCCCCACAACATATCATCTTTATTCTAAGGCAGACTTCTGGAAAAACTTAAACCTTAAACATATTTTTCCTGAGTGTGCAAGCACTGCCTACCTTTGACATGTTCTGGAAGCTCCTGGCAGATTTGTAGAAGATC